GGTTACCAACTGGAAGATCTTTAGGTATATGTTAGAGATCTTAATCATATTTCTGAAAACAATTTTTCAAGAATACATTAGTATAAATATGCTCTTGTTAAACTATAAATTCAAAAGGATATCAATTCTAATAATAGAAAAGCCTAAGTCATATCTTTAAAAAATTTTTACAAGAATATAAGAACAAAGTAAAAATGCTAAAAGGAAGCTTTTACCATTTAGATATCAATTGCACTCCGTTCCTATATCAAAAGTATTTCTCCAAATTCAAGTTTCGCTATGAACATCTGAACTTACTCTATACTCCTCTTTTCCTTGTGGAGCATAGAGTCGCTACTCTAACTTCTAGTGTTAGACTATTACAATGTACAGTAAGAACCAATATATTATGCATGATGGATTTTAACCAGATAAGTTTATCGTTCTAATTTAAAAAGCATGGCAAGTGTTTTCGTTAGTGCCACTTACAAATAAAATGACAAGAAGCTCAACTAAACTTGAACAGTGAAAGTGCAGCCTTGACTACTTGTAGAGAAACAATATTAGTCATCGTTTCTAATTTCACAAGCACGAGTTCTAAGCCTGGCACTTGCAGTCCAACAAATTATATACGGACTATAATCGAATTAAATAAAAATTCGAATATTTCCTAAGATCACCGATGATGAGTACTTGGCAATACTAGAAACGGCTTTGTATGTTCAGCCAAATTTCAATAAATTAATTAAAATTTTTGTTGTTGTTGATTTATTACTGTTCAAGCCCTTATGGTTTCTTTTATATTAACTGAAACTATAAGAAACTTTTCGTTTCTATCAAAGCTCGGTAAAAAAACAATTGTGGACTGCTACCAATTGCCATAAACAATGACTACGAATTTCTTTGACTGAACATACTGCCATATAATTAGAGGCAAGAAATAAAATAAAAGATTTGATATACAATATTCAATATTTTTCTTTGAATTCTTTCTAATTCGACTCAATCACGTTTATAATGATGAATGCACCCTTGCACATACACATATGTACCATTCATTTAAAAATTGTTAATTTTGAGCAGAGTTCCTCACATAAGCGCTGCAAATCATAGCTTATCATGTAATCTTAAATGCTTTTCACATCACTCCCTACAATATCACCGCCACAGATGCAATTAGTTTTCATGTAATATTATACATCGAAAACGCCTGTGGCATAAATACTTAACTAAGACGATTATTTTAATATACTAGATACACACAACTAACACATCATTTTCCCTTATGCAAATGAGCAACACCGACATATCCATAAGATACGAGTACTTAGAGACTTATGAACTAATTGATGCTTTAATATAGAAAATATTGCCTGACGATATTTGTAAATATTGTCATGATTTTTTATTGTCTTGGAATTCCTGACTTCACCTCAAGCAAAAGGTGAAGGAAGAACGGAAAATATCGGACTGCGCTCGTAATTATGGGTTCTAGAGTAATTTGAACACACAACACACAAACAAACTTTGAGGCAGGCCTTTAAATTGATATTTCAACACCAATAAAAAAAACATTTAATTTAAAATAAAAGAAAAATGGTTTGCAAAAATGGATGTTGCAAAAATTTGATGAACAGTTCAAAGGAGTTGTTGCAACTACCAGCTACCACACTTGAGTTAGACGAACATACGAGTGTTCAGTAGTTTGATCGATCGTTGACCGTGTAACTATTTACAACGCTTTAAGGGCTTCGGAGATCCATTAACACGGTATGTTGTGTCAGCAATTGAAGATGTTCCAGTATCTCAACATGCAACAATTTATTTTGTGTTGCATGTTAAGTGTTTTGCATAACTACCAGTTAAAGCAATTAAATTATTACAAAGTGAAGGAAAATGCATATGCTTTAGATTCAAACACAATTAAGGACTCTACAGGACTTAATAGTTCCACTTGAAATTTGTTCAATATCGAACGAACAAGACTAGATACTTCTGCTCTTAGGAAATATAATGCATAATACTTAACTACAAAGTAAAACTAATTATAATCACATAGAATTAAAGCAAGAAGTATAAGTGCTAATATTGCTGATGATAATTATAGTTTGGCGTTTGATCAAACTCAGTGTGGTTCGTGCTTAGTGATTACTTTGAAGAGCACAATATAGCCCTTGAATGCAGTTTAAGCATTTGTTTGAACTTGGAGTAGTATTTGAACAAATTTTTGATATTAAAAATATTTATGAGATTTTGGATAGGATAGTTGTCTTACTGAGACCATGCACAGACCTAATGTGTTCGTAGCGATACCAGTTTAAAGACTCTAAAATCGGTTAGTAACAGTACACTTAGCTTAAGACGTATGTATGTTTGATTTGCAAATTTTTACGAAACAGTACAGTGCAACATCTAAAACCAAGTTCTCAAGCACTTAAAATAAGTAGCTTAAAAAAATGTTATTAGTTTTTCGCAGAGAACCCCACAAAAACAGAGAAAATGCTCCAGGATGTACTGCAATTTACTACAATCGTCACGTCTTTAACTTACGTGTATCCAAGCAATATTCTGTTAAAATAGCAACTAGCATCCTGCTGTTCTTTCGATCAAGCTGCAAGACAGGTTTGTTGTCCTCTGCCTCATATTTACAGACAAGTTTAATATAGCTGTATCCAAATGACATTTTAGCTAGCCATATAGTAATACGTTGCCCTATAGCTGATGATTTTAATGCCATACTTTACTGCCTGAGTCTAGAAGATCTTTGAGCTAGTTATATATATGATACATAGTGCATAGCTGGCTTTCCTTCTTTATCGCTTCTCGGCCTTATGGCTAAGATCAAAGTGTAGTATCAAAGTGGCTTTCCTTCACTATTTTCTACAAACAGATAATCAGAGCAGCCGTTAGAAATATCTTTATGACGCCAGTGATGCAAAGCACCGATCAGTATGAACGTACAATGTATATTATCTTTTCTGTTACAATATGTAATACCAGAATACAATAAAGTAATATAGGACGAACAGTCGTCATGTAACACCAGTAAATAAACACGGGAAGGAGACTCCGTCTTTTACAAGTAACTAAATGTTTAAAAATGTTTCATAGTCCCAATATACAAAATGTTCTAGATAAAAAAATTAAAATGTGTTCCCCACCGTTTACTATAGGTACAGATAAATACTCAAAAATGGGCTCAAAGCAAGACCTTATTCATTTTAAGAACGACATGTTTAGTTAGAGTTAGTTGATAATTTTGGTGTAAGTAATATTATAAATGCAAGTCTTGGATCTGATTTTTTCCAATGCATTCTTAAATATTTAAATACTCTTTGTTATTAATTACTTAAATTGAGTAAGACGTTGGTTAATTTGAGTAAGTTAAATTTAATTAAAAAAAAATTGCTCTATGCAATCATTTAAATTAATGCCATATATCTGGTTTATTATCTTATATATTTAGTTTCTGAAGTATGTGAAGACCCAATAAAAACACATGAAGCAAAATAAGAAGTAGAAATGCCAATTCATTTAAAATTGTGAATGCATATTGGGCAAATGTAGCGCAAAAAAATTATTCCTTCCTGATTACTGCTGGCAGCAATTGTGCCAACAATATAACTTACGAGCGACGCGAAATTGGTAGCCATACAAGTATAAATATATATCTGCATGTACACACATACTGGATATGGCCCAGGCCGGTAAGTATGCACGATCAGCAATTTCAATCGCCAATCGATACACAAATTGTTAACATTAAAATGATGATCATGCTGATGCGATATGACTTGTGTTTGCCTTCAACCAAACCGGGGAGTTGGTTAGCATTTACCTTAGTCAGCAGTTGCTCAGGCTTACATATGCGGCTTAAGCTCAGTCTTAGTTTAGGTTGCAGTACTGATCACTCGCGACACTGGCATTGGCGTCTTGCGCGTGGACAAACGCAATTACTTAGGGATATCAATTATACCAAAAATAGTAAAAATGCCTGAATATGATATTTTGTCGTATGTCCGCTACATTTCTACATTGCTAGCAATATAGCTAGCATTTCTATATATGTAAACCTCGGAACACACTCGCACAAATGCTACGCTTGAAATTATAATCCTTCTATTGCTGAAAGCATTCCGTTGCTCATTTTTCTTTCGGTTTCCATTACACGATTTGTCCCTTGCCACTGCACAAGCCAAAACAACTTCAATTTAGCTTAATGCATTGCAATATTTAATATTAGCAATTGAATTCCTGTAATTGAACTATTCAAAGTCATTGCTACATTTATGGTGCCCCTCGTACATATAATATAGTCCGCGGCCTCATATGTTCTTATTAAATTAGCAATTATGCGTACACGTGATGCACAATTCTTCTGAAGTCAACGGTATGTCGAATGCCAATTTGCTCCAATATTTGATTGCCTGCCTTTCAAGCCATTTAATTTTAATGAAATGTGGAATTCCGCACCGTTATTTGTATAGTTCTTGAATGATGAAGGAAATAAATTGAAAGTTTTTACCGAAAGTGATAACGCCAAGCAATTTCTCATTTTAATTATTGAAGATAATCCTCTATGAAGAAGAACATCAGTTTCTCAGGTTTAAAGTAATACAGGTGATACACAAGCAATTAAGTCCATAATAAACTCATCCTTTTCTATATTAAAACAACACAATATTAATAGGATAATATTAGTTAATATTATTCTAGGATAATAC